CGGCAGCCCCCCCCCCCCCCGAGTTGAAAAGAGCCAGATTTTTTATGAAAAAAAAATTTAATAGATGGGAACAAAAGTGGAACAGGTGGTCCCTGAATGAAGAAGAAAGGTCCTCCGGCAGCTGCTTTCTAAACTGTGGTTAATGAGGGAAGGGCAAGAATGAACATTCTTGAAACAAGCGAGCCCCCAAGGCTCCCCCCGTGCAAAAGGTAAAGACAGACAGAGCCGACAGGTTGAGTCTGGCCCCTGAACTGCTCCCATCCTGCTCCTGCACTTTTCTAGCAAACATTTATCAAGGTGTAGTAAAATGTTTGCTGATTAAGTCTCAGGGGTAAGGAAATGAGCATTGTTTTCTATTATGGCGTGCATGTGCACATGACAGGAAAAGACAGAGAGAGCGCACTTGCATAACTGATGTAACTTGCTTTAGGCTATGTAGGCAGTGTCATGACCTCCTCCTCCTCAATTTATTTCTTATTACGCATGCATCCTGACGAAGATTCAGGGAACTCACGCCGTCCTCTCCACAGCCATCTGTGACGGACGTTAACTATGAGACAGGGACTCCCCTCCCCCCCTGCAGGGACTTTCATGCCTGAAGGCGACTGAATCAGAGTTTCCTCCACTCCGAATCTGCCACGATTCCAGTGGGGAAACCTTGACCTCAGACGGTGCCAGTTTTTTCTCCAGATTAGCTTCAAGGCGGTTTACAGAATGCAAAACATTTCTGAGAACCATCAAGACTACATAGGGCTCCCCCCACCCCAGATGTCGCCAGGGGTTCCCTCCCCCCCAAGGATACCTAAGAAGTAGTCGGCCTTCCCTGGAACGCGAGAGGGAAGGCGCCGCCACCCACCTTGCTGACATGTTGGCAGAAGGCGGGCACGGCAATCATCTGGCTCAGGAAGTTGAGGTACGCGCCGACCAGCGCCATGAGGCTGCAGCGGTTGAACATGGGGAGGTTGTCTTCATTCAGGATGGCCGTATCCTGGAGGAGGAAGAAAGGAGCCAAAGGCGGTTAAAGAGAGAAGCTCCTTCAGGGGCTCCTTGGCTCAAGAGGGTCCCTGTCGCTGAGAAGCATCCTCCAGGCAGAAAAACGACCACGTTCTTCCCAACAGGGAAGATGCAGAAATGACGTGGCATGGCTATTCTTCTCGAAGACAGGTCACAGCACCATTTCACAGCCTGTCCCCTTGTGTACTTTGGGGGGGGGGAAACACAGCTGGACTCTCAGTCTCTTGGTTTCCCGCCTCTTCCCCCACCCCAAAAGAACCCAACCCCCCCCAATACCTGCAGGGCAATCGCCAGGCGGATGAGGTCGGTGACCACCTCTTCATTTGCTAACTCGATGGTGATCAGGACCAGCGACGTGTAGAGCAACTCGAAATTCTTCTGCACATTGTCCTCCTCTTTGCAGCCCACGTAAACGTGCCGATAGAGCTGCTGGCCGTGCTGCAAAATGACGGGAGAAGACAGAGGAGACTAGAGAGGATCTATCAATACGAGGACTACCTGCTCAGCAGTCTCTGTCTTTCACCTCTTCAGAAGGTCTTGCTCTACGTTTATGCTCAGCTGCTAAGAGAAGCCTCTCTCTCAAGGTGGCATCTCCGCCCCACCCCTGACCTGATCCATCCTCCTCTCCGGGAAGCCTCTGCAAAGAACATGGTCTGCAGGGCCTAAACTTTCTCCCGTTAAGAAGGCAGCAGAAAAGATCCCTGCTGGGGGAACTGGAAGAGTTGCCCAACAGGTGAGGGAAATTGGGCCGCCTAGAGGGACCCGCTCAGCAGAAGGTAGTGGCGTAGGTGGTTCCTGTGCCCGACAACCAGCCACCTCCTGATTTGCAACTTCATCGGTCTATGGATCAGCTCCAACAGCACTTCCGAGGGAGCGGGGCCCAGATCCTGACACCTCCAGGAGAGAAGGTCCCAGCCAGCAGGGCTGCCCTCGGCCCAGACCAGGGCGGAGCCTCCGCCGGGCAGAGGGAGCCATTCTGGGCTAGCAGGGACCGAAGCCACAGCTCCCGGTGAGGGCAGACTGATCTCTCCTTCTCCAGAGAGCCGGGCAAGGGGAGAACACAGCAGGGCCGATGGAGATACTTTTAAGGGGGGTGGGTGGAAAAACACGCCCGCAAAGGAAGCCGTGGCCGCTGCAGGTGCTTTGAGTGGCCGTGGCGCTGACCCTGCATTTACCTTCTTCATGAAGCTCACATCTTGCCGAGAAATCTTCTCTCTCTTGATCTTCAGACCAGACACATCAGGGATGATCCTAAAACCGAACACATGCATGCCCGTTCCTTAATAAAACCACCACGGTACACTGGGAGGGTCAGTGTATACACACCTTTCCTTCAGACTCTGTGTCCCTTTCCCGCCAGCCTCCAAACGCCCGACTCCCACTCCAGGGGATCTTTCTGGACCAGCTTGAAGGGACGTTCCAATCTGAACAGGGCCGAGGCCATGTCTCTCCTCCCCTGGCAGCGTCATGCTCAGAACGTGGTGGAGATTCCGGAGCTCCTCTGAAAAGCCACCTGACAGTTCCCACCACGGGATCAGGTTTCACCCCCCAGAACATCTTCCATGCCTCTGGATCAAGCCTCGCCTCGTTTTCCTTCCTCTGACCCCAGACTGCCTCCAGACCCCTGTTCGGGGATGCCCACAACCACCTCAAGACTAGGCTTCACAGCCTCCGTGGGGCCGGCTGGGAGGCTATGTCCTTCCTACCTTCCAACAAGACATCCACCTTGGTCGATCAACCTTCTTTTTTTAGCAAACATTACCTATCACAACCCTAATTTATGCTGAACGAAACTGTTTTTTCCCAATTAAGTGATTTTAAAAAGAGAGAGAGAGAGAGGATTCCATTTCCCCCTTTAACATCAACCGAAGGGGTCCAGGGCTGAGCCCGGCTCAGGACGGCATTCCTCCTACCTGATTCCTCGGAGCTTGGCTCGGTTGTCGTGCCGATCGATCAGATTGTGCAGGATTTCCAGGACCAGCTGCCGGAGCTCGCCGTCCTCCATGAGAGAAGAGGACAGCAGGGGGTCGAGAAATGAGGCCGAGAGGACGGTGGCGATACTCTTGGCGTTGTACCCTGATGTGACCTGCCGGTTGGTTCAAGGGGAAATGGGGGGGGGGGAGGTTTAGGCCAACGTCTCCTGCAAGAGCCAGACCAAAAGCACGTGGAGCAAACCATGAACATTTCCCCCTAACACTGAAGCTGGTGGGTCCAGACAGGAAGGAATCCAAGGGCTGGATTGCCTTGGCCTCCTAGGCGGCTGCACCCAGCCCAACTTGGTCCCCCCTCCAAAACTCCTGCGGAGGGTACTCTGGGAACTGTAGTCTTATGCATCTGGAAGGGACCCAGTGCCAGGAAGGTTCCTGGGTTATACAGAAGCACATCTTGTCCTTTGCATTGGTCTCCGTATCGGCTGCACAGGGCCTGGACCATATCCTCCACGACCCACCTTCAAGTGGGGAACTAGTGGGCCACCCGGGGTCCCCATCTTGCCCCACAAGGTCCCCCAGATGGCCGCCACCCCCCCCATCTTTCCGTGGCTTCTCAGCTGTTGTATGTCCCCCACCCTCTTGATGGCAGAAAGAGCTTTCAGCTTAAAAGGGGGGGGGACTGCTGGCATTTTGGGTCCCACACAGCCTGGTGTGTGTTCCTTAGGAATTTCTCTGAAACTGAATGGCCAAAAGCTGTATCTCACCCACCCTTTGCCTATAAACCACATGCACCAGAGGGAAGGTGCATATCACGTGGAGCGAAAAGGGCCCCTGAAGAGAAGGGCAGGAGAAATGCTTTGGTTTCACCCCTTAGAGGCAGCACCCCCAAAAGAAAAAAAATCCTAAGTACTTCAAAAATGGACAGGCTGTCCTATCAAGAAAGGAAGTCTCAAGCCGGTTTCTCCCAATCCAGTGCCTACAACTCCCATCCTGCTTGTCACACAGACCAGGGAGGGCTGACCCTGACGGTCTGAACCACTGAAAAACAACCCCTCAGAGCCCCCCTCAACCCGAACCCAGACCAGGCCTACCATCAGCAAAGACCGGAGCAACATGATCTGAATCCTCCTGGTTCCCAAATCCCTGAGGGGAAAAAGCAAGAGGGACGGTGGTGAGAACAGAACCAGAGAAAAGGGGGTCCCTACCCGCTCCCTGGCCAAGACCTGCCAGGGAAGACCTGGCGGCTGCCCTGCCGTTAAGTCGGCTGCCCTCCAGGTGAGACAGGCAGCCCCCCAGGCCAGTGGCCCCGCACAGCCCTTGGCCACCGGAAGCGGAAGGAAGCTCCTTGCTCGGTCGGGCTGCAAGGAATACAGGCCAAGCGGTCAGTGGGATCCTGGGAAGGATTGTCCGGGACAAAAACCTTTCCTATCTCCGTATGAAACCCTAAACTAGCCCGGCAGAGGGCTAAAGGATTTTGCAAGCTGCTGCTTCGGCTTTCTTGGGAGCAGACGTGGCCAGCGGCTGATCTAAGGGTGCTCCATTGTCACTATGTTTTGCACATGAACACTGGAGAGGCCTGTCTGCCTCTGACGTTGCAATCTCCCCCCCCCGGTCTGCCTTCAGAGGGGGTCCAAAGATGGCCAAAGGCCGTGCTGGCAGCCAAGGAGTGGAGAGAACTCGGAGGACCTTTCCGCCTGCCTCCTGCGAGTGTGCCCACCGTTCCTATACAAAAAGCTCTTCCGGTTCCCTCAACAGAAGTAAACCTGGAAGACCAAACAGGAAATGGACCTCACAGGGACACAGGAGCTGCCTTGCGTTATTAAGCCAGACACACCCCCTACACCCTGAGTCCAGCCTTGCCCACTCGAACTGGCAGCAGCGACTCTTGGGGGGGGGCAGGCAGGTGTTCCTCCTCCCTTAACGCCTCCCTTCAAGCTCTTTTCCTCTCCCCCTCCTTGAATGCTTAACTCCTTCAGAGTTCTGGCAACTCCTGGCCTGAGTAGTGGGAGAAGGGGGTGTTATCCTACAAGACGGGAGGGAGCCACCCGTGCTTCAGATCTCCTTTTCAGATAAGAATAAAGTCTGCGTTGTCAATATTTTTATACATCTTGAGGCTCTGTCTCCCGTTTGTATTTTTGCTAGCAGTGGAGAGGTCTCAGTTCCCTTGGCTTTGTCGCCCACCCTCTTAAACAACTCTGCCCCTTCGCCTTTGCTGCTTTGTAAGCTCCCTTCCAGAACACAAGTCTCTTCTTTCAAGGCCATCCAAAAGAAACTCCCCACCCCCCCTGCCCTTTAGCCTTCCTTCTGAACTGAACCCTAAAGCAACCTCATCCGTGTCTATCCACCCCCCCTCCAGTCACCTTCGTCCCCATCGTCTCCTCCTCTTGCCAACCCTTTGCACTGCGAGCTCTTCTGGATGGAGACCTGTCGTTTTTGCGTTGGTAACTCTGTCAACCCCCAAGGGCACTTGGGCGAAGGTAACTTTGGCCTTGCCAGAAATACTGATAATTAACATCAACAAGAGCAGAAGCTCAGCCACCACCAAGGGATAAAAGGGAGGGAGAGACTCACCCAAGTTGGCTGGTGTCCAGAGTCTGAGACACGGCCCCGAAGACAGGGACCTTCCCCATAATGAACATCATGATCTCAGACCGCTGGTAATCGGGGAGGTTGCTGCCAAAGAAGCCTACACAAGAGAGAGAGAGAGAGGAAGAATGGAGTCACCCAGACAGGTCCATCTGTCCGTCACACAAAGACTGGGCATTCGCGGGTGACCCTGAGCCCACCTGGTTCAGCCTGGCTCCCTCTCACAACTCCTAAAATGCCAGCCGGTTTCTCCCATGAAATCTGTGCCATCGGTCTCGTTAAGGAAAATGGCCCCAGCTTTATCAGCCACGCTCCTGGTGGGTGAAATGGCAGACAAGCTCCCCTTCCTTGCTGTTTCTCCCTGGCTTCTCCTTTGGTGTGACGTTTCAGGCTTGCCTTGAGCTACAGGTCCCTGTAACACCTGGCCACCAAACTCTGGCTTCTCTGGTCTGATTAATGAGCAAAGTAGGATCAGATGTTGGGTTTTCATTTTGATCCACTGTCATTAAGGCAGGGTTTCTGCCTTCAGCTCTGGTGGGGACGATGGCTTAAGAGTCAAAAGCAAGTGCCTGGCTGGGGGGGGCAGGCAGGGAGGGAGGGGTGAAGGAGAAGCGCCTCGCCTCCTGGTTTCAGGAGGTGATTCAGTGGGAGGGAGGCGAGCTAAGGAGGGAAAATATGTGGGGATACCTTGTCTATAGGGGTCTTTGGGAGAAGTGAGAGCAGGGGACGCCTGGAGTTCTAGGTTCACCTAAACCATGAGGCTTGTGGGATGGACGGAAAGAAAGTTGATGGAGGAGGAGGAAAAGGTGCTTGACAAAGACCCCACGCACGGCCAGGAACGTGGAGTTTGGCTGCCCACCCAAAGTGCACCCGCCGACTCACCGATGGTTTGAATGATGGCGTTCTGGACGATCTTCTCGTCGTTCTCCTTGGAGCGGGCAGCCTGGCTGGCGCCGCCCTCGGGGTCGCTCCCGTGGCCCAATTCCAGATCCACGCTCAGGCTCAGGTGCTTCAGCAGAGTGTTGAACACCTCCAGAACCGTTGGGCCTTCACAAAAGGGGGCAAACTGACTTTACTTTCTTCACCCACATTTATACCCCACCCATATAGTGCTGAGGGACTCCTCTGGGCTGTTCGAAGCAAGACCACAACGGGCCATCTCTACTCATGAAGCATAAACAGGGAGATCCAAAAAAAGCATTAAACCCCAAATGTCCAAAGTTGGGTGGCAAATCAAAACAAATGGTGCCATCAGGACCTGAAGATGCCCGCCGACCCACCCACGAACATTTCTGGTATGAGGAGTCTTCACTGGGTCAAAAGCCAGAAGCACCGGCAAATATGAAACGGAGGCTTCCACGGAGCCCAAAACCTTGCCTGGAGGCCTCCATGGGGGGGGGGGAGTGGCACAGGGCACCTGTCCACGCCAAGGCCCCTCCTTCCCACCTCTCTGGGGAGGGAGGCTTCGGCGGCTCCTACGTGGACCGAGTCCTCATGTACGTGGCAGGGAGTCCCCAGCCGAGCTGGGCCCAGGGCACCAGGCTGCCTACGCGGCTGCAGCTCTTCCGCTTGTAGAGGAACATGCTCTGGGCAAAGAGGAGAACGTCGGCCCAATCTGCACGCGGAGCCTTGGCACATCACAGAGGATGCTGGGGTGGGTGGGGGACACATGGGTCAACTGTGGAAGTGCTGGCCAATGCCACTGGTGCAAGAGTCTACAGGCAAACACCCAGAAATGGTTGGGCTCTCCTCCCTCACCCCTGGCTAGGTCAGCTATGGGTGATAGGAACCCAGCAACATTGGGGGGGGGGAACTACAGGCTCCCTGGCCCTGATGTCCCAGGAAGAGGATGAGCAGTATGAATAGTACAGAAAGGACCACCTCACTGCCACGCGGTAGAATGGAGCAAGCATTGTTGCCTCCGGCTACTAAGAAATCTCTAACGCTGGAACTACAATACCAGTAAAAGGGTCTGGACCACACAGCCTGTTGGCCCCTGTGCCCTGGTAAGTCACTAATGAATGGGACAGGGAGGTCTGTACGGGCTGAACTACCTAAGACAAAGGGGTCCCTTTCACACTGCATCGTCCGCAGGGGAAGACGTCTGTCCCAGCCACAAAAGAGAAGTGATGGGGAGGCATGGCCGAAAGTGGGACTCCAGGGCCAAAGGGAGGGAGCCGCTTCAGTGGGCCCAGAGGCTGGGCAGGAACGCAGGCATAGGGACAGGAAGACGCGTGCACGCACAGGGTTCCTGGAGAAGTCTTCCTTTCCAGACATGCCTGGCCCTAAGTTAATGGCCTTTTTGGTTTCCTCTTCCTAAATCAATCCCTTGCACACGTGTGTGTGTTTTGTGCCATTCGATCGATTCCAGCAGAGGGTAACTCCGGTGGCATTTCCAAGTTCTTGGAGTGTTTTTGCCCTAACTGCCCCCAGGCCACTTTCCACGGCCAAGCAGAGACTTGAACTGAGGTCTCTCCAGGTCCGGCGCACGATCTACGTCCCCCCCCCCGTTGGCTCTCCCTGACCATCCCACTTTTTTGTTTATCTCCTAAAAGTTCAGAGTGCCCTTGGTATGGACCTCAAAGGAACCATTTGTCTGGCTCGGGACTAATTCCACTCACATATTAATGGACAACCCCATCTGCCATTCGATCGATTCCAGCAGAGGGTAATTCTGGTGGCATTTCCAAGTTCTTGGAGTATTTTTGCCCTAACTGCCCCCAGGCCATTTTCCACAGCCAGGCAGAGACTTGAACGGAGGTCTCTCCAGGTCGCACGATCTACGTCCCCCCCCCCGTTGGCTCTCCCTGACCATCCCACTTTTTTGTTTATCTCCTAAAAGTTCAGAGTGCCCTTGGTATGGACCTCAAAGGAACCATTTGTCTGGCTCGGGACTAATTCCACTCACATATTAATGGACAACCCCATCTCTTTAATCAGAGCTTAGATGGCAAAAAAAGGCACAAGGTCAAACCTTCCCCACCTATCCAAGAAAGACCCTGACTGAAGATCAAGAGTCACATCAGGAACAAAGCCTTCCCTCCCCAGCCAAGTCTCTGGAGAGCGACTATCCTTATCATTAAGCCCAGGACAGGCAGGGCTTCAAAGACCCTGCAATGTTAGGAATCTTGTCCCTCCAAGAATCCTCACTGACACATCGCAACCTTGTTTGGCACTTCTTTAACAATCCCAAGCCAAGGACTGCCATATTTTCCCTTTAAACCTTAGTGGCCTTTGCTCCAGAGGTCCACTAGCCACCTGAAATTGATTTTTCTTGCCTTTTCTTTTATATCGTTCCTTGGGCTCTGGAGAGAGCCAGCATTCCGAAACACAGAGATCCAAGGGCCTGAGATGGCCTTTTCCTTTGACTTCGTCCCAACTTTGTGGTGTTTGCTGACTGGGCCTCTTTCCGACCATCTGAGACTGACTGGCACACGGCGTGCCTTCCTCTTGGCAACTCAAGAACGGAAGCGGTGAAAAGCCAAAGTGCTCACTAAATTGGAATTCTCCCTGGGATTTCTGCCAGGTCTCCTCTCCTTCACATTCTCCCCTTATTGTAAGAGATGCAAAGCAGCAGCCTTGTTTAGAGCTGCTCTGTCCAGCCTCCGGCAGGAGATGAACAAGGAGTTCCTGACACCTGAGCGTTTCTTCCTTCCCTCCACCTCTCCTTTGCTCACACCGGTTGGTGACCTTTTCCCACCCTTGTCGCCTTAAATCCATCCCAAAACCTCAAACAGAATCACCAAGGAAGATCAATCTCCCTTTTGCCGCTTCCCTGTTACTCTTATTCAGTTGGTCAGACAGAAACGCTAAATGAGAAGCTATACATAAGTACACACAGGTCAGACTCTGGAGCAAAAAAGGGCCAGTTGTTACCACCCGGAAATCCCTGTCAAAAACCAACCAGCAGCAGGCGCATCAACAGGCCAGAGATTCCATCACATCCCAATTTCACATTCCTAAGTAGGCAAGCTAGAGAAAATTTCTGTTTTAGAGTTGGTCTCACATTTTAAAAGCCCGATAAAGAGAGCTCACAGCAACCATCAGCATGGAATTCCTGCCTTGCAGCCAGCACTGTTAGCAATGTTCCCTTAAAAAGGTGTGGCTGTACTTACCATTTTGGTATCGAGCACCCCAGTCTTCTTCCCTCTTGGCCGTGATCTGACATAACACATGGTCATGAAAGGGCTTTTCCCGAGACTCTGTGGCCTTATCCCCAGATTTATCCAACCCTCTGCCTCCACTCTCCTTCCTCTCCAGGCATGGCATGTCCCTCTTCTTTTAAGATCTCACTGAGCTCCCTGATGCTGGTCTTCTTCTTATTTTGGAAATCCAACTTTCTGCCAGGGCTCATCTCGAGGCCTGAGCTCACCACAGCCTGCATTTTATGTCTGCTGCCATCATCAGTCACCGGTCCTTCCAGACTCTGAGCACTGCTTCAAGAATTCTTGCCCGAGGAGCAAATGGCCTCCTCCTAAAAACCTGCTGCCTCATCACACCTTTGTTTATTCGAGCTCCTTCCTGTCACAGCCCAGTGACAGGCGCAAAGGAGCTGCAGTTCAAAACAGAGACTCTAGGCTCAGAATAGAGCCGGTGCTCTCCACCTGGAGCTAAAATAAAGTACTGGGACAGAAGGCAACTGACATTGACACGACCTATTCGCATGTTCCCCAAACCACAGAGTCGCGTTGCTCCCAAGCCCTCCGGTTCCAGAAGAATAAACGAGACTCACCGATGGATCCTTTAGCAGCAATGGCCACGGCCTCTAGAAGGACCTGGATGATGCCGGCGCGAACGCGGGGAGAGTCTCGCTTACAGCTGTCCAGGTGCCCCAGGATTTCCTGGATCACATGATGGGAATACTGGGCCTGGAAGCAGAAGGGGACACAGCCTTTTGGTGCTTTGCAATTCAAGTAGTGGCTTCATAACTGAGCCTCCCTGCCTTGGGGCTAGAGATGTAAAATTTCTAACACAAAAATGGATATTTTGGGAGATTTTACATCTCTAGAGAGAACTTAAATGCATAAAGTCTCAGGAATCTTTCCTTAAGGTCTTCATGTTATACAGTTTGAATACCATGTCATATACATATTATTTATCATTGTAAAAGAACATATTCTACACTCCATATTTTTTCCAATTTTTCTGGGGGAAAAAAACAAAAAGGGCTTTGGAAAAAATGGGGGGGCTGGGTTCCCCCCCCCCAATTTTTCTGTGGTTTTTTTCTTCCAGGCCTTCCTCTCTCTACTTTATGGCTCATTGTTAAGTCATCACAAACTGCTAACACTCAGCACGCATTCACACAGCACCAGGTAGGTGCTTCTGTCCTGCCAAGTGGATTTACAAGCGGCCCCCGAGGAAGGAAACAGAGCTGGAAGAAAGAACATCATGAAGTGAGGATGGCCGTTCACAGTACATGACGCTTGGCGGGGGAGCAGGAAAAGGTGGTGTGGGTTCAAGGAAGAGAACCAAAAGAAATGGAAGGCGCTGTCTTCTTAAAACGGTGATAAAACCTTGTATGACAAACCACGGGCCCCATTATCAGGGAAAAAGAAAAATTCCTTTCTGAGAGATACAGCGAGAAATGACTGTGTTTTGCTTTAGGAAAACTGCTTGGTGAAATTTCAGATTCTAGGTATGACTGAAAGTTAATTTATTTAAAATTAACTTTCAGCCATTAATAGAAATAGGTCACGAAAAATCTAGAACAACGGTCCACTTGAGGCATTAATACATCCAAAAACTGTAAGCAAGTGCAAGCCAAATGGGAAGCCTGACCCGATGGCAAAGAATTCAGCCAGAAACAGAAGACCTTGAGGAGAGGGAGAAGGACACTCAAAACTAACTTAAGAGTCCTCTGCGGACCCATGGCATCATCCGCTGTCCAAGCAAACTGGACAGAACTGAACGGTGTATGGCCCAGAGAAGCTAAGGATGAATCCCCCTAGCAGCAACAGGAAAAATGGAGAGACCATTTCAGGTCATTTCTTTTCCTTCGGCTTTACAACCCCGCATGACGGGGACATTCTGATGTCAGGGCCACTAAACCCCCTTGGTCGGATTACAGAGCAAGTGGAAAGTAAACTTACCTGGATGGAGTACATGATGATTTTGAAGCAATGGACAGCAAACTCATTGGGGTCCCACAGTTTGTGATGGTCCAGATGTCTGTTAGAACAAACCATCATTGTTATTTATTAAACCTCAAATGGCTTAATTGTGAAAGGCTGCCCAAAGCAAGCTGCTAGGGCAAGGACCTTTTGTTTTCTTTGAAAAATAAATCCTGGCAAATGTTAAAAGACCGCCCCTCCCCATTTCTAAAGACCGAGCAAGCACAGGTGACTGTTCATCTCCCCTCCCCACAGCATCAACGGAAAACTCAAGGGTTCCATGGCTTTGGAATCCCCGGGATGGTGGGCAGAGGGACAGCACACATGTTCTGAAAACTCCAGCCCTCTTGTTTTTCATCTCCCTTGCTCCTTCCCAAAATGGGGTTGCAACTGGCACAAAACCGTAAATAGCTGCTACAAGATGACACGGGCTGGAATCTTGGGCATCAGGATCTTTGGTGTAGAAGTCAGAAATGTTTTAATTTCTGAAAAATTGCTGATGTCATCAGCCTTATGCAATGCAAAGAATACTAACAGGATTTCAGCCATGGGCTTTTAAAGGTGCTTCTTGCAGTCTTTTTCACACTGTGCAGAAATACAGAAGAGGTCTCTATTATGACAGTTATGAGCAGAGACTGATTGTATAGCCTTCTTTTCCAAAATAATTGAAGGCAGTGATCATGAAAGGACTAAAGCCCTATACACGCTTCTAGAACATGAACAGATCTTCAGACGAAAAAAACAGGTACCCCTCTTGGGAGCTTTTAAAGGAAAAAGGGATAAAATAAATAAATGTACTTACCATCTTTCAAAAATGCATGCAATTTACAGCATTCTACTAATCTAGGAAAGGGGACGGCTCAAGAACCAGAACCAATCCACCCTTTGACCCATATGTGCACAAGCTCACGGGACCCCTACGACCCCCAAACGTGGAAAAAGATTTCCTCATCTCCTTTTGAGAAAAGGGTCTTAGGCCAGAGGGACCCACAGAGTCTTTGAAATGGCTGGCGATACGTTCAGACTCCGGACCAGCCTTCCCTGGGTAATCAATCTCAAAAGCCAAGACTTGCTTTTTCCAAAACACCCCGAACTGCTAATTAGAAAGACCTGGATGCATCTGAGTATCTGCCACAAGAGGACTAGAGTGGAAAATACGAAGAGCTTCTGCAAACGCACCCATGGAAACAAAGGGGAAGATCGCCTGGCATTAAGTCAAGCAGAAACAGCAAGCTTGGGAGAAGTCTCCAGGCCGTTAGCGCCTTTGCCAAGGATTTAAACATGTTGGCAGCCACGCTCCTGCTCTCCTCGCCCTATACGTAGGTTGCCCTTTGCCTCCGTGGATTTCCCACCACCCTCTCCTCCTGTCCTCTCCAAAAACAGTCTACGCTTGAGAAAAGGGTTGCTGCTACATGCCTTCTCTCCTGGCTTCGAAAAGCATGGAAGCCCTTCGCTTTCCCAGCACCTCTTCTCTAATCCGCTGGGTAGCTGTAAGGGATCCTGAGGAGCAACCAGATTCTCTGGCTAGGCCTGTCGCCCATGGGGATCATTGCTCTGAGCACCCGCGGACCCACAGGAGTCCTGGCTCTGAAGTATCAGAGCTGACAAGGACCTGGAAACGTGCTGGAAGCAAGGCATGTTCTCTGTGGAGATGTATTCCTTCTGTGTCCTCCCCTCCTTCTAGGAAACTCAGGCAGCAAACAACCATATCTCCTTTTCCTTGACATTAAGGGAGGCGAGGGAGAGGGGAGCGTTTGGCTTTCAAGATAATTGGGACTAGAACGTCGATGATCCCTTCATATTGGCCATGCTAGCTGGGGATTCTGGAGGGCCACCGCCTCCTCAGCCTTGCCGTACAGCTGAGCTGGGCTGTTTGTTCGAAGCTCAGATTCGCCTTGCAGTGGCAAGGGAAGGCTCCTCCCTGCGGCACAAGCCGTTAATCCAGACACCTGCCTTCTGTCATTTAGAATGAACACATATTTTGGGCTGTTTTCCAGCTAGCAGGTACAGGTGATTTAAAAGCAGGATGGAATTGCCCCCCCCCCCCCGTGCCAAATCTGGAAGGTTTCAAAGACTCGCTACTTACGCAAAGACCGGTCTGACAGCATGATTCATGTTCCCGTAGGTAGCACGACCCAGCAGCTCCCTGAAGCAGTTCTCCGCTAGCACGGCCGGATTTTCCTCTTTGTCGCCTCCTGTCGGGGAGGAAGGCGGCCCAATTCGGCTGGAACAGAACATATACAGTACAGAACTTGGATGGGACTGGCAGGTGGAAATCCTACCCCTGTGGCTTCACAGCCAACCGTTAACCTCCAGCAGACAATTCCCTCCCCTCCGAGTTGCAACTCTTTGGCTCCCAGGTTAGAAGCGAGACGACAGGGTTGTGGGGAGAGGGAAGGAAGGGCCGAGGTCTCCTGGGGGACAAACACACCTGTCCACATCTTCTGGCTTCTGCATGTTAAAAAGCAACGAGGGAACAATCTTGTCCATGTGCTGAGGCTCCCAGATGGTGGCTCGGAGCTCATCGTTCACTGTTTTGCGAACCACCCCCTGGATGCCCCGGATGCCAGCAATCCGGATCCTGACAGGAAAAGCAATGACATTATTAAAAAAAAAAAGAGAGAGGGGAAATGGTTGGGGAACAGACATCCTGGAAATGTCCTCCACCCACAAGCAGCTGAGCTGACAAATCTCAGGGGGAAAAATGCCTTCCACACAGACTCTGGTTGGATGAAGCTACAGGAGAACGATCCAGGCTGCGCGCAGAGGTACGAGGAGCTGCGCCGCCACCCCGGCTTTCTCCACGCCTCTGAACCAGCTGTTCCTCCACTTCATTCGCAAGCACTGAATTCGCTGGCCTGTGGATCTGTGGCCAAATATTCGTCAAGGAAGACTCCTGGCCTGGTCATCACACATGACCTCAACAGCCAGGTGTTTTAGGAAACGGCTCTCCCAGAAAGCGCTCCCACCCGACCCCAGGTATTCTGCCACTTACTCATTCCTTATCTCTGGGTCGCTATGGCAGGAGTGACACATGGCACTGAAGCGAGACACGAAGAAGTCATAGCGGCGGTGATAGGAAGGCGTATCCTCCTCGATGTTCGCAAACTTAACGAACTGAAGCAGAGGAGGGACAAAGGAGCAGGACCACAGTCAGCTTCAGAGCAAGCAAATGATCTGATCTGCTTAATACCGCCCAGTCCCAAAATGCAGTATTTCCTAACCATGCTTAAAATCTCTCCCCGCCCCCAAAAAACCCGTACCGCCCAGTCCCAAAATGCAGTATTTCCCAACCATGCTTAAAATCTCCCCCCCCCAAAAAAAAACCCATAAGAAAACAGAAAGCATTTTACAGTTTCTAAAGAACACAACAGAGGTGGAACGGAACACGGAATGACTCCTCTGTGGTCCCTGCTGACATTTTAAAAAAAGAATTCTTGACAAGTTTTCTTCTCTGCATTTGGCTCTTGGGCGGAACCGTTGAGACGTGAGGCTTCCCAAGAGGAGAGACTTCCCTAAAGGTCCTACCCAGAGGCAGATAAAAGCCATGGCAGCAAAGAGGGCAGGCGCCAGGTTTCACCTTACAAATGGAAGCCCATTTAACGGGCTCTTTGTACATCGAGGATTTGCCAGGTTGGGGCGGGAGGCAGAGCCCTGGTGATCTACTTGCCTACTGCTATATAAACCCACCCAAGTTGTGAGGTCTTGTCCAGAGAACTTTCTACGGATGCTTCGCCTTTAGAGGATAGATGGGAAATGAGCAGAAAAAAGAACCTTTCCTGCAGCTGCACCCTTAACTGTGGCACATCCTTCAGAAATGTCCACCAGGCACCTTCGGTACAAAATTTCATGTTCTTGGTGTTCGAATAAGCAATGAAGTTGGACTTTACTGTTGTCTTAAAACATTACTACTAACTGGTTGTTTGTATTCTCTTAGCATTTTAAAAACATTTAGATGTTTTACAGACCAGGCATATTGGCTTTGTTGCATTTTAAATGATATTTTGTTCAATGTATTCTCAAAAGCTATTTTGTTCCATTATGGTTTTTTTCAGTAGCTGCCTTGGAAATCTCTTTGAAATGAAAAGTCAGGATACAAATGTTTTTAAACAGAACCCAAGGGAGGCCTGAGCATCTCTGACGCAACAACACGAGAGCTGAACCAACCTGGGCTCCCCCCAAGCTGTATTATTCTCAGACCTGCCCCACCACCTGCTTGGCTCCTGTAGAGCTCCTGTGCTCTTAAGCCCTCCTCAGTCTCAAATGCTCGGCTCCATATGAGATGCTCACAGACCGACCAGAGCAATCCAGAGCTGCCTAATGCAGCCTTTGGGAAACATGGAAGCTGGGTCCTGTTACTGGGAAACTGTATCACAGGTAGCAGCGTGACAGGTAGGCTGCAAAAATCAGGGCTCATTTCAAATGCAGCAGGGACAAGGAAGTAAAGACAACAGGTTTCCATATGAGCCTGCCCATCCTCTAAGATCAGGCCAGGAGGCTCTTCTGAAGGGGCCGTCCCTGAAAGAGGCTTTCGGCACCAGGCAAGGACCTTTCTGTTTAGCCAGCATTTTAATTAAATAGTATCCTTTAGCTGGCCATATGAGCAGCAGGATTTATTAATATTAATGTTTTAATATAGGATATTATTGCCTATTTTAATGGTTTTAATGTTTTTAAAGTTTTAATATTGTTGCATGTCGCTGAGAGAGCACTGGTAATGGCGTGGCTAAAAATAATTGTAAGTAAGTAAGTAAGTAAGTAAGTAAGTAAGTAAGTAAGTAAGTAAGTAAGTAAGTAAGTAAGTAAGTAAGTAAGTAAGTAAGTAAGTAAGTAAGTAAGTAAGTAAGTAAGTAAGTAAGTAAGTAAGTAAGTAAGTAAGTAAGTAAGTAAGTAAGTAAGTAAGTAAGTAAGTAAGTAAGTAAGTAAGTAAGTAAGTAAGTAAGTAAGTAAGTAAGTAAGTAAGTAAGTAAGTAAGTAAGTAAGTAAGTAAGTAAGTAAGTAAGTAAGTAAGTAAGTAAGTAAGTAAGTAAGTAAGTAAGTAAGTAAGTAAGTAAGTAAGTAAGTAAGTAAGTAAGTAAGTAAGTAAATAAATAAATAAATAAATAAATAAATAAATAAATAAATAAATAAATAAATAAATATGCTTCACTCAGCAAATTATATATCTATTTAAAGACGGGCAGGGGTCTGCAGAGAAAGGCAGAGGATCCAGAAAGAAAGAAAGAAAGAAAGAAAGAAAGAAAGAAAGAAAGAAAGAAGTTTCGCTCAGCAAATTATGTCTATTTAAAGACAGGCAGGGGTCTGCAGAGAAAGGCACAGAATAAAGTTTCTAGGCCTTGCAGTAGGTAGCACAGGAACATACAAAACGCAGGGGGAGGGTAACAATGCCCTCCTCCTTTGTAGAGGTTCCTGGAACCCCTTATCAGGGATATGGGGGGGAACCCAGACTCCTCTGCATGTGGGAGACCCCAGTGGAAGGAGGGGCCCCAAGAGAGTTCACTCACCGAGTTGGTCCCCAAGACCTGAAGCCGAGGCTCTCCAGACTCCAACAGCTTAGCGACCATGTGGAGAAAGCTCTCCACAAAGGGCTTGATGCTCTGGGAATGGCAGGCCATTAAGAGCTGGTCCAGGGCCTCCATCGCAATGAAGACATGCCTGAGAGCAGAGAGGAGATGCCTTTGCAAAACGAAACTCTTCCACCTCCGTCCACAAAGCACACGAGTCCCCAAACCCTACTGGCGGCGGGCGGGCAGGCGGGCACAGCGGCATCTGCGTTCATGGCCCGCAGCTTGGCAACCACCTCTTTCCCCTTGGCAAACACTACCACCCACCCACGCTGGCTGCTGACTTGGGTCGCTGTTCTGATCAGCCAGCGGAGGGGAGGCAAGTTGTTTCCTGCCAGAAGCCAATGTGAAAACGACTGATGTAGCCAGAGGGAAAGTAAGCGGCCACATTTGAAGGAGGCAAGACAAGTATTGGGCATCTCACCCATCACGGTGCCTGACAACATCCCGGCTCAGCCTCTCTGCTAAATAGGCACCAATCCGATCCAGCTTCTCTGGGGCAGAGACCGCATAGAAGGTCAGCTTCTCCATATCCGCTTTGACAAGGCCATCCTAAGGGGAGTTGCAGAAGAAAATGATTTTGTTACAAAGGCAAACTATAGTTTTTTTTAATAAATGCAAATAAAACAAGGACCCCCTGTACATGCAGGATCTGTAGTATCCGTAGGTTCACTTACCCACTGTCTGAAAAATATTAAAAATAACAAAAGAAAACTGCCAGAAATATGTGTTTCAATAACGTAGTTATCAGAACTGGACTGAAGAAAGAGACAGAGACCACGCCATGTATAGCGTTCACTATTATCCACAGGTTTTCAGCATTCGCGGGAGGCTTGGGACTGACACCCTCCCCCCCCACCCCCAGATATAGAAATCCTACTGGGCAAGAAATGCCATTTCAGCAGTCCTGCTCTCAGTCTCTCTTTTCTCTCATTTTCGGGGACAGAGGGGATACCACAATGAAGGGGAGGTCAAGTCCAGCCATCAGCCAAATCGCTGTGCCTTTTATTTCAGTAACCTGACCAAAACTGGTATTTTGCCATCCTGGACAGAAGCTGAAGAAGACAAAAGGACAAGGTCAAGGCTACTGCCATGGTCATCACCTGCCTAAGATTTCTGTGAGATAACGTGTATTGGTGGTAATAATAAATGACAGGCAAGTACAGTTCTGTTCAAGTTCCTAAACTTCGGAGGTTTGCCCCATAGTCTTAAAGGGCTACCCAACTGCTCCTGGGCTTAAATAATATTGTAGAAGAGGCGCTGGGTTTCCAAGTAAGGAGGACTAAAATTCAACCTTTCAAAAAATTCCAGAGGCAGGGCTTCGGAGAGAGACCTGTGCCACTCCTCTTTCATGATGTTGGACACATGACTCATTCCGAGCCCAGGACATGTGGGCAGCTACATTCCACACAGCATTAACAACTGCAGTTGAAGCCCTGGGAGGCATGAGTGGGGTGTGTGTGTGCATTTTCTCAGTGAGAAATAGCCTCTTAATGGTTGCTGGGATAATGCAAGCACCCTCAACAGAAACACACACCCCAAGGGAAAGCCCAGTGTATTTCCTGCAACCAGCAGCCAGCCACACTCTGCATGCATCCATGGGTGGCAGCATGGACAGAAGCTGTTAGGACCAACGGCCTCTTCTGTGGCTGCTCCTTGACTCTGAAACCGTCTGCTCAGCGGGTTGATTATTTCCTGTCCTTCAGCAGGCCTGTACCTTATACGTGCAGCAAAGTTTTGGAGACTCTAGAAGAAGGATGAAAGCTGATTTTCATTTACTGCTGTTCAGAAGGCTGCCGATTTCTCAGTGCTCTGAGAAAGTTTTGTTGAAATGGGAAATGCCAAGTTTAAGGATAGTACACATTTTATATAAATAACATTTAGATTATATTACGCATCTTTCAGTCTCAAGAGACTATTGTAACATGCTCTGTATGGAGGACTTAGAACAGCATCTAGTGTGGCTGAGAAGGCCAATTTGAGAGTAAAAACATCCCTTCCACCAGAAATACCATCTGTCCCCTGTCCAGCTCCTTGATTTTGCTGGTTTCGGAACTGCCTCTTGGCCTCGGCCTGCTGGACAAGAATCTCTTCGAATTAGGAGAGGCCGCGATGCATCGCCTACCTCCAGGCTGAACACTCAAAGGTCAAGGTTTCCCCTCTGTGGAAGTCCATTCTTCAGGCCTTCAGATCCCGCTTGCAGATCTCTTTCAAACACAGCTGTGGTCTCCCTCTGGGGCGATTTCCCTGCACTAATTTTCCATACAGGAGATATTTTGGAATCCGACCATCGGCCATTCTCACGGCATGCCCAAGCCAAAGTAGATGTCGCTGTTTCAGTAACGTATACATGCTAAAAATTGTAGCTCATTCTAGGACTACTCTGTTTGGAACTTTGTCCCGCTAGGTGATACCAAAAATGCATCGGAAGCAACGCATATGGAAGGTGTTCATCTTCCTCTCCTGCCTTGCACAAAGGGTCCAGGACTCACTGCAGGACAGGAGGGGGCGCAGGACACAGGCTCTATAGACCTGGATCTTGGTATATTCTGTCAGCTTCTTATTAAGCCATACTCTCTTTGTGAGTCTAGAGAACATGGTGACTGCTTTGCCAATGCGTTTATCCAGCTTGACATCTAGGGAGAGAGTGTCAGAGATTGTTGAGTCAAGGTACACAAAGTCATGAACAACCTTCAATTCTTGCGTGGAGATGGTAATAGAGGGAGGTGAGTCCACACCCTGGCCCATGACTTGTGTTTTCTTCAAGCTGATTGTTAGTCCAAAGTCTTGGCAGGCCTTGCTGAAACAATTCATGAGATATTGGAGGTCTGCAGCAGAATGGGCAACAACAGCTGCATCACTGGCAAAGAGGAAGTCCCGCATGCATTTCAGTTGGACTTTGGTCTTCACTCTCGATCTATAGAGATCTGGTTAACTTTAAAGTGCATGTTACACTCCCTTTCCTTTGCATGTTCCTACCTTATGGTTTAAGCAAAACTAGCTTTCCATCTGACCTAGTCTGGAGATAGAGATTTAAATACAATAAAATATATTAGAATGTACTGTGTATATGATGTGTGTGCATATACCTATGGACACACGAGTCACAATTTGGAGGTGTAAAGCCAACATTTACCATTACAAACAACTCAACTGACTACCTTTATCCAGAGATGCATGTAAGGGCACAAATCGCTGCTTACCTTGGGATCTTCGGGGAAGATGTTATCCACCAGCCGCTTGTAACGAGGGCGCAAGGCAGCACAACAGCAACAGACTCCTACAAACACAACCACAATGAAAGCAGGCTTCTTGAGAGTTAGGGGCTTTACTTAATAAACAACCCCCCACTAACGGAATGCTAGTAATATCCATTAATTCCAGTTTGTGGCATATATATCTATTTTTGTTAGGAAGTTACTCAAATATGTGGTAAGCTCAAGGATTTTAATCACAATTTCGAGGGTGGAAATAAAAGAAGGAAGAACTAAATATACAGTTCTTGGTGCAAATATGTGGAAATTCAGGGACTAGATTTCTCTCCAGGTCTTCCAGACCCTGCATTCCTGATCACAGCAATATGGACAACAATGTGCAGCTTTAAATACATTTCAGATCAAGAAAGGCAGAGTTTTAACATGCTGAGAAATTTCAAAGGGAGAATGTGATGCAGATTCACATCCATGGATACCTAAGCCCATGTTTACAAATGTAGCTCCTGCTTTAGAAAAAAAAAGCCGTGTACCTAAGCCCATGTTTACAAATGTAGCTCGTGCTTTAGAAAAAAAAGCCATGATACATGCACGCACGCACACCACACACACACACACACACACACAAACAAACAGAGAGAGAGAGAGAGAGAGAATGGTTATTTGAAAATAAGAAGACCAGCATCAGGGAGCTCAGTGAGATCTTAAAAGAAGAGGGACATGCCATGCCTGGAGAGGAAGGACAGTGGAGGCAGAGGGTTGGATAAATCTGGGGACAAGGCCACAGAGGCTCGGGAAAAGCCCTTTCGTGACCATGTGTTGCGTCAGACCACGGCCAAGAGGGAAGAAGACTGGGGTGCTCGATACCAAAATGGTAAGTATAGCCACACCTTTTTAAGGGAACACTGCTAGAGCAGGCTGGGTAGGTGGGGCTCGTCAGCCATGGAAGGAAGCCCATCTAGGAGAAGGAAAACTCTGATTTCAAACCTCCACTACCTTGTGGCTATATCCACTCATGGAAAAGGCTTCAGGAGTTAACCTCGAGGCAAAATCCGGAGCTGGAGTCCCGAAGGCAGCTCGTGTCGTTCTGCCAACTCCTGTGACGTTGCTGGAACCAGTTGTATTGGCTCTTGCCTTTCCATTGGACCATTTCAGCAACGTGGAGAGGGGAGATCTGCTGCTTGGGTAACAGCCTATCCTCCATATTACCTTACCTGGGCTTCATGCTCTGGAGAGGACATTTCTCGATTCAGAGCATGTCACCATAGTCTCTCGATGATGACTGTAAATCAAACTACTGCAAGGATATCTGCAGGGATGTGAGGTCAGCAAGCATTTTTTTAAAAACTGCATACTGATTGCCTTTTAATAATGGAAGTCATTAATAACTCATTGCTTTTAGCTTTAAATATTATCTATTAATGATGTTAACCACTGTTATATACTCATTGATTTCAACTTCAAATGTTATCTTTCAATGCTGTAAGCCACCTTATCAAGGAGAAAGGAGGGGCAAAACTATTTTAAATAAACAACAAATAAATAAATAATTCTAAAGATGTTAACCTTAAAGTGCATGCTACACTCCTTTGCACATTCCTACCTTATGGTTTAAATAAAACCAGGTTTCCAATAGTCCCGTTTCTAAGAGTTCTAGACAAGAGACAGTACGTAGCAGAAGCATCAAGATGCTCTATCAAACACAGAAAGCATCTAGTCTACCAACCAAAAAAACACCAAGGTCAATGGTATATGGGAGCACACAGCAACTAGTCCACACAGTTAAGAACACACATGTACCTGGAGAGTAGGTGTCTGGAGAAACATGAAGAAGGAAACAGGCAAAAGAGGCTGAAATTACACGTGAAGTAAAATGCACAAGACCGTTCATCCATGTGAAAATTGTAAAAAAAGATTCGCGTCAACATTTCTTTAAAAGGCACATGATTTTCTTCTAATGCTTTCCAGGAATAACAAGTTTCTTTCCTTTTCCTTTTTTAACTTAGCCATATAAAGTGAAAGTGTTAATTAAGCTTTAATTCCTAAGAGTTCCTGCCCAGCCTCTCTGGGGGAAGTTGTACTCTACTCTCTCGTGAACATAAAAATGAGGAGGTGGGAGTGGGGAGGAGAAGGCCAGAAGAAGCCACCTACCAAAACACACACATACGCCAGGCTCCCATTCAGGATTGTAATCATAGGATTTCTCCTGCTCAGTAACTGGAACAGCCACGTACGTCTTCATCCTGCTCTTCCCAGCTCAAAAGCAGCTCTCTACCGTTCTGCAGCCTTCCTGTCTCTTCGCAACCCAAGCTTAGCAACGCCTAATTCCATGCAGGCAACAAACGCTCACCTATCTGCCTGTGACATCAACACCGAGGCACCCGACACACACGAGAACACCACATATCCAGTTCCCTGCACAAAGACGTGTCCTTGGAAAGAAAGGAGGCCCTGCAGCCCCACGTGGGGGGTCCTTCGGATGTGCAGGTAACTCCGTCTTGGCAATCAGATGCAGACCAGAGAAACAAGGTCTTCTAAATGAAAACATCTACAGATGCATAGCTTATAATATTTACAGCTAAATGAGAATAAAGGAAAAAAACCCTGTAACTAGCTCACAGCTGGTCTTTGAATTGCTTAAAGAGAAATTTCTTATCTGACTTCTAAATGAAGGTCAGATATTTTTCAGCTCCTTAAAAAATGTGCATACTAATTTTTAAGGGAAAACTCTCCAGGTGTGATGTGCTGCGAAGCTGGAACTGAGTTACAGTGACCCGAGTGAGACATCCAAGGGAAGTGAGATATTTAAAGAGTAGTTTTACCAGTTCTACTCCCCCTGTGAGTTGCCACACCTGAGTAGGGATCCCAACCAAGCCTCCTGAGTCCTGGTCCATCACTTTATCCACTGCGTCACATTGGGTATCCATTCTTAAATCATAATGTGCACATTACCAAAACTTTTGGTATCACCTTATGCTGTTGGCCAGACTAGAAGAAAATGCTGCATTACGTGTGACAGCAAAAGCTAGTGGTGGCAACTTCAAAGCAACCATCATCAGAGACGGGCATTTTGATGAACGAAAGTGACTTGAACAGCAAGGCTGCAGAAGCACTGCAGAGGTCACCACGGGACAGCCTGACAACCCCTCTTTTCCTCCTCCACGTGCTTCTCACTATCTGCAGAGTATCTACATCTTGCAGTACTCTGAGGTCACAGAGGACTCAAGAAATATGGACAGCCCCATTGGCAGAGCACGGGTATATACGTTTAGTCAATCTACTAGGATGACTGCTAGTCCTGGCAGAGATCAGGACTGAACACTCCGAGGGTATGAATTATTCACTGTGCTGAAACGAAGTTTTTGGTAAAGTAAACCATCTGTGCAAGTTCGCCTCAAATGACCTTCAAACTCCATTGCGGCCACACACACTTGAGCCTTCCAAACTTGTGCTAATGTTGCATTTACCGGCTATTCAATGTCATGCCACTCTCTGTTACACGAAAATATCTCCCTCACTTCCAAGCAGGAGGTGATGCGCAGTCAGCCCTGCTGGCACTTGGAAATGGCACTTACGAGAGGAGAGCTTTCTGCACGATGGCCGACGGAAGGAAAGGCTACGGGACTCGCCCAAAAGAATGGCTTTGTGCGTGACAGAGACCAAATATTTCCGAAACACTCAAACAGAAACAATTTTCACATTTCTAAGGAGTCTGTGTATTTGAAAAACAAAAACAGGCTACCACTCACTTCACGTGGGATTCTCTCTTTGAAAGCGAGGAACTGTTTCTGACTAGCTTGGAGACTCAGAAATGTTTCTTAACTTGGGGAACTAATGATTCAGGGTGGGGTGGGCAACCACGGCCATATATTCTGGCATGGGGGGCCAGGAGCAAGAATTCTTGCTACTTTAGTCCTCCTGGCCAGGAAGTTTCCCAATGGGCATTCAATTTCTATACACATTTAATCATAACAGACACATATAAGGATTGTGCATGACCTTGAACAACTGCTCTAAAATTGTACAACCTCCATCAAACTTTTATTTAACTGTGGATATGTGTGTCTTGATTGGTTTCTTTATTACGATGTCCCTTGATTCTAAAAGAATTAGCCACGTTTTAATAAAAAAGCATCTACTGTATTTTTCAGCTAGCATTCTCATATTTTAAGCCAACCAGTTTATGCTTGGTCAGGAATTGCAGTGGCTCACTACGAAATATTCACAAAGCAGCCAGAGACTCAAACCCAGTCTCCACAAATAACGCTTTGCTGCTGGTGGTAGGGTTCAGGACAGGAGCTAATGTCAAACCTCTACCACGAGTCTGGTTGAAAAGGCTTGCAATCATCCTAGTGCCTCAAGACCTGAAGTCAGGGCTCCCTCTCCCGAGACGTATTGTGCTTTACCACAACTGGCCCCTATTTTTACAGAAAAGATTTCTTCCCAATGTCTGGATCGTCTCTCGTCCATCCAAGTACCTGATTTTTTCCCACCCCACACGATCGACAGCTTGAGGTACTTACTGCCAGGCATCGTTGAGGTACGATTTGGCCTCTACTTTCCACCATGTGATAAACTGCAGGAAAAAAGAAAGATGTCCTGTTAAAACTGAGTGTGCAGATTATCATTTTCAAATGTTTTGGCAACTCTTTCCTGTTGGATATGCAGTGAAGAAATGAGATCCCAGGAAAGGTAGAGCAGTAGAGCCTTCCAGTCACCATCTGGGTTTGCAGGTTCTTCATGACGCCTTTGATACAACGCCAGGAGTTTAATGGCTTTAGTACTGACTCACTGCAAACCATGTTCATGGCAAACTATGCCCACAGCGATCTGCGCATGCAGAGATCAGGAACCTTCAAAATGCACCTCACCTGGCCCTAAAGATCTAGAGTTTAACTGATGAATTACTCTTGCTTTTAAACACAGAGGAAAGCAGACAAACCCACAACAAACAACTTCACAGCACTCCATGCCTTGAGCCCTTGGTCCTCCTCCAGATCATATTTCCCACTGCATAAAATGACAGCTTTTTGCAATGGATTTCAATTATATTGCAAGCTGTCTTGGGTCCCGGTTTTGCGAAAAAAGGTGGTCTAGAAATGAAATAAATGCCTAAAAAATAAACATACTCCTAGGTTCCCATTCCTGCTGGCTACGCAGGGTGAGACAGATGGAAGTTCGTAGATCAAAACATAAGGGAGGTAAGGGATGAATTTTTCTAAGCAGCTGTTTCTAGGAGGAGAAATTCTGAAAGTCACCCAAAGCCAGCAAAGTGCTCTGCAGCAACCCAGCCTGGAGCATCAGTTCATACAGCCTACTCGGTGCCCATGCAAAAACAAAACAAAACAAAACCCAGCATCATGCATTCAAAATTTATCTGCCACTTTGGGGCACAAATCACAAACACTATCTCATAGAAAACTGTCAATTTCAAGTAAGATTGGAATCAAGGATTAAGACATGCATCAATTATTCTGGGTCCTGCGGCCCTGATAATCCCCACATAATTTTGGGCTTTGAATGCAGAACGAGTGCAGAGACCATGAAACAGACGGAACAAAATGTTCCTCATCCTTTAATATGCTGATGCATCCTGTATTACTCATGGAGGCCATGGAGGCCAAGTACAATTTGCCGTTTTTCATGGCTAGACTGCCTTTGTGTTCAAATGGAGAGTTACTGTTGGGACTCTGTGAACCTGAGTTCAAAACTCAAAGCTAATACGACCACAACCAATTCTGCGAGTCTTACAGAATTGTTCATTAGCAAACTGAAAGAGGGAAAACAAGCAAAGCAAAAGCATGGTTTTTTTTTTAATTGCCTCCAAACAATATTCCACTGCAGAGATATACTGAGCCCATCACCTGAGCAGGTAGCTACTAGGAGAAGCAGCAGAAGAGACTGACAGCCCACCTGTCCTCCTTCTGGGCTTCCTCTTGGGGCTCTTGGTTGGCCACTGTGAAAAACAGGATACCGGATCAAAAGAGGCCTTCCCTCTGATACAGAAGGGGCTTTACATCCTTCTCATGCAGTTAGAAATGCAATGCCATAATCATCATTTTATGGGTAATATGCAGAGGAGGTGTGGGGCTACGCGTCTTCCACTGTCTATGTTAGCAGCTCTTTAAATGGTTTCCAGTTTAGTGAGAAACTAAATCCTAACCTTCTCCTAGATGAAGCTTTTTTTTAGAATTGGGCTATGCACTTGAGACGGTGCTACACCATTCCCTTTTATATCTAACTGGGATACACTGCTTCTGGTAGGATTAAAGTGAGGACTTAGCTACATCAGTTCTAAGCATTTTTTTTAATGCGAGATTATCACAGAGTGCACATTTTCCTTAGTTCAGCAATGTCAGTCTGCTGAAGGAAAGTAAGAAGCAGTCATGAAGCACCTTTAAATCTAACAGATCATAATTCGAGTTTTCCTGGACACAAAGACCACTTCCTCAGATGCATGGAGTGCAGTCTCAGGGCTTTGTGTTTGTGTTTGTGTTTGTGTGTGTGTACAGTATATATATGTATATGTATATGTATATATACCGTTTCCCCAAAAATAAGACCTAACCTGAAAATAAGCCCTAGTATGATTTTGCAGGATGCTCATCATATAAGCCCTACCCCAAAAATAAGCCCCAATTAAGTGAAACCCCCCTCCACCCTTGTGCACCAACTAGAAGATGGCATGATTATATTTGAATAAACGCAGATTGTTGTCCGTGAAAAAAATAAAATATCCCCTGAAAATAAGCCCTAATGCTTTTTTTTGAGCAAAAAATAATATAAGACCCTGTCTTATTTTCGGGGAAACACGGTCTATGAATATGAACATACGCACGCACACAAGCACATCCAGTTCAAAGTAGAACACTTACTCCATTGTGGAATGAAAGCAAAGGCAGAAACAGCATTTGCTGCCTGTCCATGGATTTTTCCCAACACTATCTAAGTGACTAAAGAGTGATAGAAGGAGGGGTTTTATCCACCCAGGCAAGACACAATAACAAGCAAAAGGAGGATCCCAGCCCCTCTCCAGACACTGAAGCGAGGAAACAGGCGTTCAGCCAATATTCACATACAGCAGAGGAAACATGGACTCAGGCTTGCTCCGTGCAGCCTTAATGCACAGAGCATCGAGACCTATCCTGGCCCATGGGAATCCCGGCACATCTTCAGCAAGAGTATCACTGGGAAAACGGTCCTGACGGAAGCTACGCAAGGAAGGTGTCTTTGGCTGGCTTTTCAATTCCGTGCGCTATTCTACTTCACATCACGCCCGCTGAACCTCTGCCAGTTATCCTTCCCAGACAAAAAGCGGTGGGCACAACCGCCAACTCGACCCCAGAGGACGTTAGGACAGAAAACTGACCGTTGCTTCCAAAAAGTGTGTGCACCCCATGGACAATGCCTGGCCTTTTTGAGGGGGCAGCAGATCGGGACGCTCCCCCGTCCCCCTCCACCCCCACACAACCTCTGCAGACAAAAAAGAGGGGGCAGACAAGGAGTCCTCTGGATGGACTCCAGCTCCAGCGAGCCTTAAACTCCCTTTTCCTGCTGCCAAGACCCCCCTCCCTAGTGCTTTGGACTACAAGTCCCATGAGCCCCACCCAGCAGGGCCAACAGGCAGGGATGAGGGGTGCTGAAGTCCAAAACTCCCCCCCACACGCACACAGAGAACCCCACTCCCTCCAAGGCTCCAAACGGTTGAGGGCACATTGCAAAGAGATTTTTGTTGGGGGGGGATGTTTCCCTCTAAGGAAAGATGGTGCTGATACCAGAGCAGAATCAAACTAGATTTTAGTACAGGGGTGGGCAATTAATTTCTAAAGGTGGGGAGCCACATGAAAAATCTGAACTGTGTTCGGGGGCTGAATCAACTTTACTTAAAAATAAAATGAAACAATGATGTTATGATTGTTTTTATTTTAAACGCGTTGATCTTCACAAATACTAAAGAGGTTTTTTGCGGTATGTTAAAGATAAACAACTGATCAACTTTAGACAAAAAGCTATACATGGTTTTGATGTCCGGCAGGCCGGACAGGAGTGGCTTGCGGGCTGTATGTGGCCCTTGCGCTGCACTTTGCCCAGGTCTGTTTTAGTACAACCCTTAGTAGAGAAACAGAGTACAGTAGCTTTAGTAGCTCTTCCCTGCACCCCCTTTCACCTTTGATCTAGGAGATGGCCAGCTAAGGAATGTGGCCAAGGAGGAACCGGGTGATTGATGTCCGGCAGGCCGGACAGGAGTGGCTTGCGGGCTGTATGTGGCCCTTGCGCTGCACTTTGCCCAGGTCTGTTTTAGTACAACCCTTAGTAGAGAAACAGAGTACAGTAGCTTTAGTAGCTCTTCCCTGCACCCCCTTTCACCTTTGATCTAGGAGATGGCCAGCTAAGGAATATGGCCAAGGAGGAACCGGGTGAAGATAATAGTAGTCGCAACACCACCGGCAGGGGAGGGAAGGCCATCTATCAGGGCCCAGGAAAGAAACACATAGCCATTGTACCAAAAGATAAGAGGAACTGATACTCTTTTTCCCCAGACATTTCGAGGCTTCCTGAGCGCATAAGGCAAAGGACACATGAGCACACAATCTGCATATCTATAGGGAGCCAATCTAGTCGTTTAGTTGTGTCCGACTCTTCGTGACCCCATGGACCAGAGCATGCCAGGCCCTCCTTTCTTCAACTGCCTCCCGGAGTTGGGTCAAATTCATGTTGGTTGCTTTGATAACCCTGTCCAACCATCTCGTCCTCTGTCGTCCCCTTCTCCTCTTGCCTTCACACTTTCCCAACATCAAGGTCTTTTCCAAGGAGTCTTCTCTTCTCATGAGATGGCCAAAGTACGGGAGCCTCAGCTTCAGGATCTGTCCTTCCAGTGAACATTCAGGGTTGATTTCCTTTAGAATTGATAGGTTTGTTCTCCTTGCAGTCCAGGGGACTCTCAAGAGCCTCCTCCAGCACCACAATTCAAAGGCATCAGTTCTTCGGCAGTCAGCTTTCTTTATGGTCCAGCTCCCACATCCAAATGTCAAACCATAGCTTTGAATTTTGTTGGCAAGGTGAGGTCTCTGCTTTTTAAGATGCTGTCAAGGTTTGTCATCACTTTCCTCCCAAGAAGCAGGCGTCTTTTAATTTTGGGGCTGCTGTCTCCATCTGCAGTGATCATGGAGCGCAAGAAAGTAAAACCTGTCACTGCCTCCATCTCTTCCCCTTCTATTTGCCAGAAGCCAATAGGTTAATTTAATTGGCCTCATTACCCAGTGAGGAACTGAATCCAAAGTTGGGATACAAATGAATTAATGTATAGCGTTTTTACGGCTCTTTGTTTGTATCCTTATAAAACATGTGTGCCCTGTATTTTCTCGGTCTTTCTCTGCTTTTAAGAAAAGTCCCAGCTGACCTTTTCTTTGCTGCTATTCCAATAAAACTGGGCCTTTCGGTCCAGCTGTTTGCCTGATGCCTGGCCAGAGGATTTTTGAACCCAGGTCTGGCCGGTGACATCGGGTGCATTCTGTATGATGATGATGATGATGATGATGATTATGATGATTCTTCCTGACATTGAGGGCACGACCTCTCTTCCCCCCCACACACACACACTCGCGCGTTTCCCTCAGCCCAGCCCCCCGCCCGTTACT